GTTCCTTTCGTTCCTTTCGTTCCTTTCGTTCCTTTCGTTCCTTTCGTTCCTTTCGTTCCTTTCGTTCCTTTCGTTCCTTTCGTTCCTTTCGTTCCACGAGAACAAGGCCCCGAGAACAAGGCCACCGCACTATCGCAGAATTCGTTAGGAACTTAACGAACCCCCAGCAGAGACGTCAAGCACGCGCCGCCCATAGATAGAAGTTCCCTTAAGTACGATACGACAGGATTCGTTGCGACCCCGGCGAGATTTCCAGTAGAGACGCCAAGCACGCGCCGCCCATGATAGATGAAGGTGCTTCAAATTTGTCACAACCCCCATATCTAGTACAATGATATCGTAATGCCCTCCGCCACCACCCAGCGGTCGCCAGACGTTCACCGGGTGAGTCTGCAGCCCATTCGCAATCGTCATTACGAGCCAGCGGTGAGGATACAGTAGCAAAATGCCTACATCACCAAAAGACCAGCTCGAGTGGGGTCAAGTCGCTTCTTGTCCGGCTGTGCCAGACGTCCAGCCGCCGACAAGCTCCCCAACCCGGACAGGCTTTGAAGTATGGTGCTTTCGACCGCCAACGTTGCGTCCTGATCCCTGTTTGACCCATGACCCTCCCCTGAAAACCTGCCATCATACAGCTCGTTTTGCCGGGTCTCTCCGATCATCCCGTCGCAGATGCTACGGCCCCAGACTTGCACTAGCGTAGGTAGCGTGATCCTCGCTGGCGCTGGCGCAAGGCTCCGAGCTTTCGATCGAGGTGCTCCCCGAGTCGGCCATGCTCATGTCCCACTCGTCTCGGCTACTGAGCGGGCTGGAGGTACGGCGACCGCGCGAGTCTTCGCCTCCCTCGCGGGTCGGCGCGGTGGTGGTGGTGACAATGCGCCCTGCGTCGTTCTACTCCGCAGAGGCCTTTTCCTGGTTCGCACCGCCCTTCCACAGACCGTACTGGCCATCGCAGTTCTTCCACAGCTTTATGGTACCGTCTTCAGAGCCTGTCGCATAGAGTTTGCCGTCGGGCGAGAACGCAATGGACCAGATCGGGCCGTGGTGGCCCTTGAGCGTCTCGAGCTCAGTCTCGTCGTCGTAGCGGATCAGTCGAGCCCAGGTGCCCGGCTCCTCGCCCACGACGACCTTGCGTCCCTTGACGTCGATCGCCACGCTGGCAATGGATCGGGGTAGAACAATGCGCTTAAGCTCTTCCATGGCGCGGACGCCGCCCCAGAAGTAGGCTGTTTTGCCGGCAGCGACGGCAAGCACGGGCTTGCCGCCTCCGACATCTTCGGGGGAGGCAAAGCCGGGCGCCAGGGACACCATCTCGCACGACTTGATCTCGCCGTCCAACACCTCTTGATGAATGCAGGCGCGGCTGGGAAGATCCAGCCAGCGCAGGGTCTTGTCCGAGGCTGTCACGATGACGTTGGGGTCCTGGGTCCAGCAGATGAACTTGATGGAACTCGTGTGGACGCCCTCACCGATTTCGAAACCAGCAGACGACGGGATCGTGACGGCATTGCCGTCGAAAGACGAAGAGAGCTCGGAGAGATCGAAGATTCGCAGCTTCTTTTCCATGCCGCCCGTGGCGAGAAGATCCGAGTTGTCGGCCGGGTAGGCTACGGCGCGCACGATGTGATCGTGCTGAATCGACGCAAGCTGCTCCCCCGTGTGCGTGTCCCAGATTTTCCTGTGTGCCCGTCAGCGCAAGATGACTCAAACGGGGTCCGGGGGCTGGACTCACGCAGTGAAGTCGGCGGACGCGGTCGCCGCGTATGCGTGATCGGGGCTGAGCCTCGCCTGCCATACAGCTCCCTTGTGGCCCAAGAAGGTACCTATCCTGCGACGAGTCAGCGCCGTCGGTATCGCTCTTGCCAGGGCCACTCACCAGTCTCCATTGATGCCATCACGGAGCATAGTGTTTCCATCTGCATGCCATCAGCGTGGTCCCGATAGTCGAGTATCCCGTCCCTCGGCGCACCTTTGCAAGCAGACACCATAAAGTATTGTCCATCCTTTTCGAGGCTGGAGAAGCTGATGTGCGGCACGGGGCGTGAGTGGCCGTGACAGGTCAGCGGAACGAAGCTGCGGGCGTTGTCGGCCATGTTGGACGACTGGTGCAGCTCGCAGGTCGACGTTGTTAATGCGAAGATGGGCAGTCTGAGGAACCCCGGCGAGGAAGTCACTAGTCGCAGTGCTTTGTTTGCAGCGCTATGTACTCGCGGGCGTCGTGGGAAATGCGTCAGAAATTGACGGTCGTAACGGTCGTGGTCTCGTAAACACGTGCAGGAGTTCGTCAAGGTCGTGGAGGCCGGTCGGGTTCGGTCGTGGCCGGCGAGAGCACCAGGTAAGCCGCGCGTGACTGTGCAAGACTTCGTACCAAAGGATGAGGTGAGGTGTGCAGAAAGGAACGACTGTTGGCGGCCAAAAACGAAGCCGACCTCCTGAGGTGGTGATGGCGGTCCGAGGTGGATGGGGGAGTCGAGGTTTCAAAATGTTAGGGTGGCGGGGCAAGTGAACGAACTGGTAGTGGAGACGGTACCTACTACCTTACGTACTGGGGTATGGTCAAGCAGGGCCACACAGGGGGAAGAGGGGCGTTGTGCCGGACCAGTGGGGCAGAGTCCAATTGGAGCGCCAAACTCAGGGTTGCCCATTGAGTGAGGTGCTCGCGGCACAGGGGCAAATGCACTGGCGTAACCACTGTAACTTCAGTGCTCCGGTGGCGTTATCGGCTTATCGGTTACCACTCCGGGCTGCCTTAGGTGCCGAAGTGTCACAGCGGCACACCCCTCCATGCCCACCACTGGGCGGGCACCTGGCACCTGGGCACGCATGGCCGTCCAGCCGTAGCGGCCACCTCGCCTAATACTAGGTAATACGTGCGCCCCTGGAAGACCGTCGAACGGTGAGCGTGCCGTCCACGGGTCCATGCCACCTGCACCGGGTGCCCGGGTTGGCCACTGCTCGCCCTCCCTCCACCATACCTTAGGGCGGGGTAGCTCCAACCCGAGCTGTGCCGTCACTGCAAGCTGGCACCTCGGCGGACCGCCAGCACTTTGATCACCAATCGAGCTTCCCCGGTCCACTTGCTTCCATCATCATCCATCGCGCAGCTGTTCCACCACCAACGAAACCAGTGGCCATTTCGACTCTGTTCCGCGTCACAGAGCCGCCGTCACCTTGCTCGGGCGGGCCCTTTGTCGACTCCTCGCGTCCTCTCGTACAACCTGCGCTTCTCGCACAGCGTCGTCATCGAGAGCCCCGTACCGACGACTTCGTGCTCCGATCGCCAATATCCCACACGACCCGGTTGCTCGAATCTCGCGAGGCGACGACGCCTTGTTGTCCATAGCCTCAGCCTCAGGCAAGATGGCGGGCGACTTCAAGCTGTCGGCCCAGCTCCTTGGCCACGAAGCAGACGTATGCCCTTCCCCCTTCCTATATTCCTAGCCGGAGCACCATTGACGCCAGCCCTGGACAGGTCCGAGCCGTCAGCTTTCCCTCCCCCGACACGGTCCTCTCCGCCTCGAGGGACTGCACCGTCCGCATATGGCGCCGAGGCGCCGACTCACCGCCGTCGTTTGAGGGTGCCCTCGTAAGTCGCGGGTCGGAATATGTCAACTCCCTGACCTTCTCCCCGCCAAGCAAGTCACACCCAGACGGACTGGTCATATCCGGCGGCAAGGACACCATCATCGAAGTCAAGTCCCCTCGCGCGAGCTCCACCGACAATGCCGAGCGCTTGCTCATCGGCCACGCCCACAACGTGTGCACGCTGGACGTCTCCCCGAGCGGTGCCTATCTCGTCTCCGGCGGCTGGGACGGCCAGGCGCGTGTCTGGAACCTGGACAAGTGGGAGACGGAGTTTACGCTGGGCGGCCACGAGGGCATGTCCGTATGGAACGTACTCGCCCTCGACGATACGACAGTCGTTACCGGCTGCGCCGATCAAAACATCCGCGTCTTTGACTTGGGCAACGCCCGCGCCGGGGAAGTCCAGCCAACGTCCACCATCTACACCCCGGCCGTGGTTCGCGCGCTGTGCAGAGTTCCCAAGGGACATCCCAGCGGGGCCGACATTGCCAGCGCTAGCAACGACGGCACAGTAAGGCTTTGGAAGCTCAACGGGCAGCAGGTGGGCGAGCTCCATGGCCATGAGAGCTTTGTCTACTGCCTGGCAAGCCTGCCGACGGGTGAGCTTGTCAGCTCGGGCGAGGACAGGACGGTGAGGATATGGAGGGGCCTCGAATGTGTGCAGACGATTACTCACCCAGCCATCTCCGTTTGGACAGTGGCCGCGAACCCCGATACCGGCGACATCGTAACGGGTGCCAGCGACGGTGTTGCGCGCGTATTTACAAGACGGCCGGACCAGGTGGCCGACAAAGAGGCGCTGGCGCTCTTCGAGGAGTCCGTCAAGTCGTCATCGATCCCTCAACAGCAAGTAGGCGGCATCAACAAGGAGAAGCTGCCGGGACCGGAGTTCCTGACGACCAAGTCGGGCACCAAAGAGGGGCAGGTGCAGATGATCAAGGAGAGCAACGGCAGCGTCACGGCTCACCAGTGGTCCACGAGCCAGCAGCAGTGGATCAACGTCGGCACGGTCGTTGACGCCGTGGGCAGCACCGGCAAGAAGGTCGAGTACAATGGCAAGTCGTACGACTATGTGTTCGACGTGGATATCGAGGACGGCAAGCCGCCGCTGAAGCTGCCCTACAACCTCTCAGAGAACCCGTACGAACGCGCCACCAAGTTCCTCAATGACAACGAGCTGCCCCTCAGCTACCTCGACAACGTGGCCAACTTCATCACCGAAAACACAAAGGGTGCCACGCTGGGGCAGTCGTCTCAGTCGGGCCCCGACCCCTACGGCACCGAGTCGCGATACCGGCCCGGAGAAGAGCAGCAAGCTTCGCAGCCCAAGGTGCTCCCGCAAAAAGAGTATCTGAGCATCACGGCTGCCAAGTATGAAGGTACGTGTCGAGCTGCCATTTGTGAACCTTGCCATTTCCAAACTAACAGTTCCAGCCATCTTCAACAAGATTATCAGCATCAACAAGACCATGATATCGTCCGGCCGCAAAGACGCCGCGCTGAACCCAGGGGAGGAGTCGGTGCTTCAGGCGCTGCGCCTAGCCCTGGAGACGTCCAAGCCGATCCCCGCACAGGCCCTGGGCCTGGTGGTCCGGATCGTGACGCAATGGCCCTACGGCGACCGCCTGCCCGGGCTCGACGTGCTGCGCTGCGTCGCCAAGTACCCGTCGGCGGCCGACTACACGGACCCGCAGCACGGCACTCTCCTCGACGTGGCCATCGGCTCGTCGGTACCCTCCGATGCGCCGGCCAACGAGAACGCCGCCATGATGGGCGCGCGCACGCTCGCGAACCTGTTTGGCTCCGCCAACGGCCGCAGCCTCGTGAGCGCGCACGCCGACAGGGCCATCTCGTTTCTGGAGCGCCTCGCCGGCGTCAAGGGCGGCGACGCCATCGGCCCGATGAACCGCAACATCCGCGTCGCGCTGGCCACGTCGGCGCTCAACCTCTCCGTCCTCGTGCACCGCGAGAAGCTCCTGTCGGCGGAGCAGCGGCGCCGCGTCCTGGTCCTCCTCGCCGGGATGCTCAAGCACGACGCGGACTCGGAGGTGCTGTACCGCGCGGCCGTGGCGCTCGGCACGATCCTGTCGGCGTCCAAGGCCGAGGCCGTGGGGCTGGATCTCGGATCGGCGGTGCGCAGCGCGAGGGAGCGGTCTTCCGAGGAGAGGGTCAAGGCCGTGGCAGACGAGTGTTTGGCCCTGTCGCGGTAGCCGTAGCGTTTATTGGCATTCTGGTGGACGTTGGGCATGGTATGGGCGCGTGTCACGAAACAGAGTGGCGTCGATGGTAGACCGACGCCCAGTTAGTACTTGCATGTGGTTTTGAGAGTGGCAGATCCATCCGGCGGTGGTGCCCCGTCCCCGTCCCGGTTGCTCTGTATAGAATGAATTTCTGTGGAATGCCATGCCGACTCCGGGCAATCAAATCCCAGTGATTATAAAGAAGACTGTACAGTAGACATCAGACTGAGCCTCGCTCATCCGTGTGGTATCCCAATGGTTTTGCCTCGAGCCGTTGACCCCGTCCCTTTCGTCATCAAACCCCACCCGCGGCCGTCTCATTGCATCACGCGGCGTTGCGCCCGCTCATAACAGTGCCCAGAGGCCGACGAGCGCGAGAGGCAGGTACCCGACCCAGCTCAGCCTCCGGACGGTCTCGACGGCGCCGCTGCTGACGTAGGCGTCGGAGCCAGAGTTCTTCGTCGTGATCGTGTACACCTCGGCGAAGCCGATGTCGGTCGAGTTGAAGCAGTTGGTCTCGTTGACCTCGCCGATGCGCGGGTCTCCCGGCTCTGCGAAGATGATGTCGACGCACGAGAAGAGCGAGGCGCCGTGCTGGGCCAGCTCGACGACCTGGATGGTCGCCTTGTCACCGGCCTTGACGGTGGTGTTGGCGGGGAGCGGCACCTGCGGCAGGCAGATGGTGCCGGGAAAGGGATTGTTGGTCGGGCCGATGATCTGGAAGGGCTTGACCATGGGGAACGACATGTTCTCCGGGCCATGATCAGGGCCGTCCGTGCCGAAGCCCATGTTCACGTAGGCCATGGCGGTGGCGTGGCCGCGGAACCAGCCTGGCTGGAAGGACACGGCGCCGCCCGTCGTGGGCCAGTATGTGCGATTTGTTGTGGTGCCGATGCCGCCGCCTGGAGTGTCAGTCAGCTTGGTGTTTGATCGCGACAGGCCGACAGAAGCAAGGCGGACTCACAAGGGTACATCCATTGCATGCCGTAGGGAAAGGTCTCGTTTTGAATCAGATTGTTCCCCCGCCAGCCCGGGTATGTGATGACGGAGTGAGAAGAGGCGAGGGCCACGAGGGCCAGCGTGGTCAAGAGAAGGGACATCATTGTGTAAACGTCCGGACACGGTGCCAAGGCAAGGCTCGACACGGGGCCAGGCGAAGTCGCCGCTGCCGAAGATGGTCTATCTGCTCGATTCGAAGCGCAGTTTGGAACGGCAACGCGGAGAGGACTATCGCGGCAGTGGCTTCCACTCGTCGACCGCGGATACTCTCTCACTCACAGAGCGACAGTGTAAGAAGGCTGGGGTCGTCGGAGCAGGTCAAGGCACAGCCTCTCAAGCTCCGAGCATGACGGGTCTTGCCGATCGCAACGGTCGTCGTCGACGGAAGGCACGGACAAGAGCTGGGACCAACAAAGCGAACGAGGCGAACGAGGAATGAGACGAGAGGAGGGGAGGCGGTCGCCTTTGGGGTCTGGTTGGGGTTAAGAAGCAGCAGACCGCGACGCAGGTCGCACACGGCCGTGCAGACGCCGGGCGCCTACAACCTGCATGGCCTGCCATGCCATGCCAGGCGGGCAGCGAATCGGACATGGACGGCCCCCCATGGCGGCGTGCAAGAGAGCGAGGTCTCGAAGGCGGCGAGACGGAGGCGCTATTGTGGGCGCCGGAGAGCGTGTGCTGGTGAAGGCGGGAGGCACCTTGCATCCCGCCCGCCCGCCAGGCCCCAGGGGACCTCCAAGGGTCTCCCGACCGGCCAAGGGGCCAATGAGCGGCCTGGCGCCGGCGGCTGGGCGCTGCGAGTGACGAGCAATGCCTGTGAGTGCCTGCGCATCGAGGGCGCTGGTTGGATGGCTGCTAAGCGCCCGGCTTCGGATGAGGGCCGTGTGGAGCGTTGGAGACGGCGGCTGCGGCCAATGGGACTGGTGCGCAGAGTCGCAGGGCGGCCCCCAAGGCCGGGTATCGACTGGCGGGAGGGGTTGCAGGCGGCGCGGGGTGTGCGTTGTGCAGCCCGTGGCGATGGGGGAGAAGTGAGGTGAAGTGAAAGCCGGCGGGAGGCTGTTGGTGATGGTTTACATAGGATGAAGGATGCAGATGATGCTTCAGGCACGGGAGATAGGTAGATGAAGGTAGTCGATACGTACCGACGCAGTACGTCTTCTTTGCCAAAGGCAGGAAGGAGCGCGTGGGCGCAGCACAAGTTACAACGCACCTGCCGTCACGACGCAAAACCACCACCAACAACACGGCCCCTTAAAAGACAGAGTAATATCATGTACGCATGTACCTTGTACACGTCCCAACTCGACCCGGCCGGAGCGGCGCGCATCTCGCGACGCCCGGGGTGCCGGCAGGCGGCAACTGCTGCACGCCATCCGGCGCTGACATCCGAGCTTGGCTGTGCAGATTGTTGCATGGCACGTTGTAGATTGATCACGTCTCGACATGGCTGCTCTGCTTGTGCCGGCAACAGAAGACCAGGGACAGACAGGTCTGAGAGTCTTGGACGACTTTGTCGTGACGTGAGTCGTGACGACTGCCAACATGATCCACCTACCCTACAGCACACCACTTTTTTCTTTTCAACTTCATACACTCAAACGCCTGCCAAAACGACATCGCAGTCCGGGGGGGCGTCGCGGTGGCTTCTCCCTCTCACACGTTGCAATCGACGCTCACATGGCATGTGCGCGACCGGCGGGCCTAGCACACATACCCATGGCGCAGCAACAATAGTAACAGCCCCTTCACCATGCCGCCCCCGAACGCCGCGGGTGACGACGAATGGACAACCATCAAGCCCAAAAACAACCGCCGCCGGCGTAACAACAACAGCAGCAGCAACCTTGGTCACGACGCCAGAAATGCCTCTCGCAGTGCACTAGCTGCCGCGAAGGAGGCACTCCCGCCGGGCACGGCGCGGCCAGACGGCCCCGTCCGGAGCGTCTCCTCCATCGAGGCCGAGTACCGCACGCTGCGCGAGACCTTTGAAGCGTCCTCCTGCTGCGCGTCCCTTCGCGCGCTGGCTGGGCGCATCGCCGCCGCCGCCGCAGGACATAAACGGAGAAGAAAAAGCAGCAGCAGCAGCAGCAGAGGTGATGATAACGAGGAAGATGAGGCAGAACCGGCGCCGCCCGTAACCAAGGCCGTGTGCCTCGGCATCGGCACGTTCGACCCCCCCGACGGCGGGTGGGAGCCCAAGCGGCGCACCTTTCTGCAACTCATTGCCTTTCTCATCCTCGTCGAGGAGCTCGGTGCGTTTTTTTTTTTGGACTCCCTTCCCTTCTCATGTGATACCAAGAGACGAAGGCTGATACAGCCCGGCGGCGCACCGTCTTCCGCAGAGCGTCTCACGCGCACCACCATCCCGTGCCTCTTCCAGGAACCCATCTTCTCCGCCTCGGACGCCGCCTTCCTCACCGCCTCGCTGGGCCACTCCGTCGTGGAGCACCCGCGCGGGTGCCACGCCGTGGACCGCCGCGCGCTGCTCTACGGGGTGCACCTCTACCGCCCCATCTACGCGCTGGCCCTGGCCGGCGGCGGCGGCGCCGGCGGCGGGAGGGAAACCCGTGCGTACGAGGACCTGCCCGCCGTGTTTGTCGGCACGGGCTGGGACGTCTGGGACGCAGTCGCGCTTGGCCAGCCCGGCGGAGGAGGAGGAGGAGACGGTGAGGACGGTCAGGACGGCGACAACGATGACGGCTTCATGCGCCGGCTGCGCGTCATGGAGGACACGTACGAGCGCGCCGACTTCCCGCAGGATGACCCGGCCCACGGCACTGCGTTTTCGAGCACGAGCGTGTACTGGCGGAGAGGAGCAGTAAGGGGAGGAGATCCCGAGCGGACGGGCCTGGATGACGGCGGCGGCGATGGCAGCCGACGAGGAGAAAAGGGAGGCGACGGAGGGGGCGCGGGAACTGGGCACGGAGGAGAGGGAGCGAGTGACGGGCCAGGGGGCCTGGCTGCACAGCTAGGCGCCGTTACAATATCATGAGCTACGGCACGTTTGTTGCCATCAGACGTACACCACATCGCGGTGAAGTTTTAGATCGCGCGACGCATATCAAGTGCCCACAGCACATACACGGCGATATTGAGGGAGGAAACATCCGCGGAACAATCGTCGGGCTTGGACGCATCAATTAGCCTCGCCTGCTATCTACTCTACCATGCTGCCCCTTCCTCGCAGCCCCATCTCGCTCACCTCGCCGTCCCAGCACAGCTGTGCGGACGAGCATCGGCCCCGATGCAGCAAGTATGACGATGCAGTGTTTAAAAAAAATGAAACAGAGCGCAGCGCACAGGAGCAGCCGCCGCAGAAAGACAGCAGCAGCAACAACAGACCCGTGTGTCCTCAGAAACTCCCGAAACGCCAGGCGCAGCAGCGGCAAAAAAGAATCTGAATCTCAATCCCAAGGCGAAGTGACGTGACGCGACGTGTCGATGGACGTTGGAAAGAATCGTATGCGGCGTGGAAGGCGTGGTTGGAGCGATTACACGTTCGCCCTCCCCGGCTATGACACCGTCTTGCCGCCGCAGTCGGGAATCTTGACGCCGTCCTTGAGCTTGCGGTTGATATCCATCAGCCCCCACTTGTCCTCCCACTCCTTGCCCTTCTCGTTGAAGCGGATCTTCCAGGGCTCGTCAAACGCCTCGAACCAAAAGTAGTTTGTGCCGTTGGCCAGCGCCTGGCATACCCAGTCGTCCATGAACTGGTTCATCTCCTTGATGCCGGCCACGGCTCCCTTGTCGCACGACGTGGCGCCGCCGCAGCTCTTGCCGCCCGCGCTGGGCCAGCCCGTCTCCGAGATGATGTTCTTCTTCGTGTCCGACTTCCAAAAGGGACCGTCCTTTTCTTTCCAAAAGTTGTACGTCCAGGCCGCTGCCTGCTCGGCCGTGACGCCCGAGAAGAACGGGTGCACGTTGGCCATGATGTAGTCGCTGTCCTTGCCGAGCTCGGCCGTCCAGTCGTCGCCCAGGTCCGACGTGGCGACGGGGAGAGTCATCTTCTTCGTCGTCAGATTGCTCCGCACATTGTCCATGATCTGCCCGAGCGTCGAGATCGTCATTTCCTCGCGGAAGAGGACCTCGTTGGCCACGATGATGCCCTCAAAGTACGAGTCGCCGTAGTCGTCGAGAATGGTCCACATCTGCTCGAGCTGGCGGGCGTTGGTCGTCTTGTTGCCGTCCTGCCAGACGCCCAGCCAAATCTTGACGTCGTCCTTGAGCTTGAGCTGGTTGACGGCGTGGATCACCATCTGCGTCTGGTTGCAGTCGGTGCCGTACAGGCGAATCTTGTTGGTCAGCTGGCTCAGGACCGCCACGTCGCGCGTGACGTTGTTCTGCGACGGAGGGTTGTGGATGCAATCGGGGTACTGCGTGTTGAAGGGCGTATAGTCCATTCCGGGGAAGACCTTGTGCAGGTTGGGGTTGTTCATCAGCGACTTGATCTCGGAGCTGTTGATGTCGAGGTCGCCATTCTGCTTCGTGTCGTCCGACGCCGAGCCGCCACCGCCCGTCTTGTTGTCCTTTGCATCCTTCTTGTTGCCGGCAACGAAAGATCCCACCACGCCGCCGACGATGGCACCTGCGACAATGAGAAAGACGAGAATGATGATGGCCCACCTCCATCGTTTGCTGTGGCGCTTGTCCGTCTTCTTCTCGCGACTCGGTCCGGCATCGTAGACGTGGCCGCCGCCGCCTTCTGGGACGGGAATTGTCAGCTGTTTTATTTTGGAAGGCGCTTTCGGAAAGAAGATCAAACTCACCAGCACTCGCCAGCATGGCCGTCGTGGCTCCGCCGGCGACGGCGGCACCACCTGCGGCAGCCGCTCCGATGCCCGCCGCTCTACCGCGATCGGAATTGGACGCGCTCAGCATCGAATTCCGCTGACTGCGTCTCGGGTAGTGCAGGCCGTCGTCGCCGTCATCCTCGATTGCGTTGGGGTCGACGACGCCCAGGTTGGCGTTGCCGTTCCTCGAGTAGGCCTGGTACGGATCGTCGGCGTACGGTTCGCTGTGGGCAAAGCTGCGCATACTCCTCGCCGGCGAGTGAGAGCCCGACGCCGCGATGGGGGTGCCAAAGGGATTGAGGCTGGAGTGCGAGTCGCGGTCGACGATGTTGCCGCCACGGCCGTTGCCCGAGGGATCGTACAGATAACCCCCCGTGTTGTGAGGGGAGTAGGGCGGCCGTGGGGCGTTGGGATACTGTGCGCGCGATGGCGGAGGGGGGATCTGGCCGTTGCCACGCATCGCATCGAGGCCGCTCTCGCGCGCGTTCCGGTCGGCGACACCGTAGGCTATGCCGGCCATGCCTCCAGACGCAGTGTCGCTGAAGTTGTCGGCTCCGGGGGTGATATTGCTGGGCCCCGGATACGAGGGGCGTTCGTACATGCCGTCGTTGGGGCCGCGGGGCGGCGCGGGCGCTCGGCTGTTGTACATGTAGGAATTGTCACCGTGCCGAGGCGGTGCAGGGGCTCCGGCGTCGTCAGCGTAGCCCCGGCTGCCGATGGCGGCGCCTTGAGGGGCGTAAGGATCGGGAATGGTGGGTTGGCGCCCCCGAGAGCGACTGGACGACGAGGTCGAGGCCGCGTCCTGCTGTCGCGGTGATGCGTGGTCATAATAGGGCGACGCACCGTGGCCGTACTCGTCGTAGGCGTGGCCCTGGTCGGCGGGATGACGGGGAGGAGAGTTGTCGTACTGGGCGCGCGACGATTCGAGGGGCTCCCGCTCGTAGGGGTCGTCATGAGGATGGCGCTGCATGATGAAGGCGGGCGACGTCGAGTCGGGTCAATGCAGGCACGAGGCTGTTGGTCGACCGACCGCCCGGGGTCGATGGCTGGAGCGACAGGTCTGCGCCGCGGGCGGACGCTTTTGTCAAGGGGAGTGAGTGAATGGCGACAGACGGCGACAAGGGGGCAAGGCGATGAATCAGTCAATCGACGAAGCGATGGACAGGTGCCGCGACGGCGAAAAGCGAGCGACGACGGCTGCCACGGCCCGTCGAGCGAGGTGGTGAGGTGTGACGACGACGGCGAGGGCAGCGACAGTGGAAACGGGAGGAGACGAGCGAGGCGAGGCTCTGGAGTTGCCGGTCAATTTTGTGACTCGTCGCCTATTGCGGCGTGGGCGGCGTGGGCGGCGTGGACGACGACGGGGGGGCCACAGCAATGGCACTGCACTGTCTCGCTCGCAGCGCAGCGCGGGTATTACAATACGTACCGGGCTGGTTGCAAGACTCCCAGTCGCAGAGTCTGGGCGTTCGCTGCAAGAGTGCGTTGCGTCGACCTCGAGTCGAGCCGTAGCTGTGGCTTTCGGTGGGGATGGACGATTGAAGGCTGCCCGTTCTGGGCCTGGTGGCTCTGGCTGCCCGTCAACCAAGGCCGCCTTTGTTGCTTGGGTGACGTCGCGCGACGGGCGGTGCCTCGCGGCTTGGAGGGAGGGTTGGGTGTGTGGGCCAGTGCCTGGAGCGAGCGCTATAAACAGAAAGTGCTGACTCCACCACCACCTGGAAGCGGGTGCGCGCCAGGGCAGCAGAGGATGAGGCCGCTGGCGATGGAGGAGCGTCGACGGACGGCGGTTTGTCGAGAGAAGGGACGACTTGGATGGATGGAGGATGGAGTTGAGGGATAGATGGATGATGGATGGACAGATGGGATGGGATGGGGAATGTCTGCGTGCTTCGCTTTGCTCGTCTGCGGGCGGGCGAGGGCGCAGCAAAGAATGAGGAGACGGACGGACTAAGAGGCTGCGTGTCAGATTGACGAGGACCAGGGATGAATGTGGATGACCTTTGGTGTGGGCGGACAATATGGGTGGGTAACTAAGGTACCTATGGGGAGCCGCTGAGGTGCCCAGGTGGTGTGTGGGATGGGCTGGTGGTGGGCTTGGTGCAGTGGGCTTGGGGCTGGGGCCACCCGACCTTACCAGGCAGCCTCCACTGCAGGTGCTGGCGCTGTTCTGGGGCTGGGCCGCTGCAGCACCGGCTGGACGGACCTCAGGGCTGTGCTGCTTCCACCTCGCTGTCGGCCCGTCGTGTTCCAGTGCCCTGACGGGAGGTGCCCGGCGGTTGGCGGGCAGCGCGGGCGGGCACCAGGCACTGGGGCACTCTAAGTCAGGCGTCGGCGTGGTGGCCCGGTGGCGCTCGTATGGAAAAATACACTGGACTGCCCGTCCCTAGCAGAAAGGGGGGCTGCGGTTCGCGTGCATCCAGCTCCGTCACGCCAGCCGGGCAGCTGATGCCGAGTGTTCCATTAGCACCAGGGAAGACCACGCGTTTGTCCCAAGCAGACTTTCATGCACCGCCGTACCATGCGGCTGTTGCTGGCATACTTGGGTAAGGTGATATTAATTACCTGCTCGTAAAATGAGACGTGGAAAATGGGACTGTGGCGGAGGGCTTCCTTTGTGCGTCTCCGCGGTGTCGCTTTCTCGCGACAACCACCTCAAGGAAGGTTCCTCGGTGCGTCCGGCCCCTCCTCCGGCCGCCTGCAGCGCCCGCAACAGGTGATTGATTGATTTGGGCCAGTGGACGCTTTCCACTGCCTGGTGGTGACTATCGTATGCGGGCAGGTCAGGGAGGCGCGTCGCCAGCCGATGGGTGAAGTGAGGTCGGGTGGTTCTGGTGCGTCGGGCTTGATCCCTCCCTTAGGTGAGGACGGTCGTCGAATGGTGCCGTCTAGCGCTCGCGCGCGGCGATGTCTTCAGTGATGAGATTGAGAGACGTCGAGATGTTTGCGGTCGCGTGAAATCCCACTGGGGCCAGCAGCATCCTCTCTCCGGCTGCGCCGTGGGCTTTTAATGACGTCCTCGCCTTTTCTTTTTGGTTTCTTTTTTTCTGCTCATATCTTTGGACCGCCGAGACAGACACCCTGCCACGGTCGGTGGAATACGAGAATTGGGACCGGACGGGGAGACCGGACGTCGTCGCCACTTCTATTACGTGCCTCGTGCCTCGTGTGCCTTTGGCTGCAGCACACCTTTTTTGCTCGTATTGCATTGCATTGCGTCGCATTGCGTTGCGTTGCGTTGCGCTGCGTTGCGCCGCCGCACGCACGCACCGCACGCTCGCAACGTGCCCTTGACGACCCTGGAGGGCCCGGCGGCGCATAATAAGGCGCAGGAATAAGCCGCAATGCCACGAGCGTGGCCCCGTTCCTCGGGTTCCCTTGTCGAGGGTTGGGGGACCCACGGTCGAAGGCGCCGAGGGAACGGCGCAGACTCTGGACCGCCGACAGACAACGAGAGACGCACCATGCCCCGTAGACTGCTTGCACTCTCCCCGACATTCGCTTGCCCCTTCATGCCATCAATCACCTCTATCGCGACGGGCCTCTAGCGATAAGGGCGGGTGGATGACGTCTGCTCCATGCCAACGCCGGGTCCTTGTGCTCGGCCTGCGACAAGGCCCACCTGGCGCACCTCTCCATCAGAAAATCGAGACAAAGCATTTCGCCCTCTTGGCTGGCGACGGCTACAGGATTGGGGCAAGCAAGGCCATGGCCGTGACCTGGCCGTGGCGGGCGGCACGTGTAAATGCACCGTCGTGGTCGATGATGGTCGGCCGAGACCTGAGACGGATGGCGCGGCACGATGGAAATGGCAGGACAGCGACCGAGTCGGATCTTTGACAGGCATCGCAGGGTCAGAAAGTGGCGGCAGCCCTGGCAGTCCGTCTGTCGTGTCATGTGCTCTGCTCCCAAGGTTGGCGAGGCGCGCCGTAGGTACTCGTAGGTTGGCGCACCAACAGAAAGCGCCGCACCGCTCATCACGGCGATCCGGACCCCTGCGGCGCCGTCTGCCCTGGCTCGCTCCGGCTTGCCCTGGCATGCCCTGGCACGCACTCGCGCCGCGGGGGAGCATGGACGAACAAGCACCTCCGCAGGGCCGCCTTGGAATCGTTGCCCTCCATATCGACGCCCCGTCGCCACAACGCATTTCAGCCGTGGCCGGCCGGACAGCCTCCTCCGCGAACCGCAACCTGGCCATGCTTTGGCATTCCAGTTGCGCGTGGCATTGACTCTTGGCGTTGGCAAGCTCCTCTGCCCAGCCGTCGGCAAATGACACCAGATGGGGCCTTTGTCAAATCTGCCGGTGATGGCCCACGGCCGCGCCTAGGACTGCCGTGAGGCACGGACCCAGGAAAGCCTTGCCTGCCTGTACATGCGGATTTGCTCGTGGAACACACGGATTATTCCGAACAACGGGCAGAAGTCATTTCGCAAGATCCGGGTCCCTATCAAATATGACAGACGGCCCACTGGCAGCCGAGCACCATGCTGTGAAGAAAGACGTTGAGCTTTTGGCGTTGGGAGCAACCACGCGCCTCCGTGTCTTTGCAGAGGCTTGGAGATGGGTGGCGAGGAGCTTGAGCATTGCCCATGCCACTCTCGACTCCAACCCTTGGTCTCCCGATAGGGTTTGCTTGAGCCTTCCAAGTTGCCGCAACGCCTTGTGCCGGACGGCCGGGTACCTAAAACGCCGGGTCCAGGACGAAGGAGGGCGTCCATGCGGAAATGCGACCAAACACCCGGGTCCAGGGTAGCCTATGCGCCGCGTCGTTCACGGTGAAGCAGCTTGGCCAGACTCCGCGAGAGTGACCAGCGCAGGCGTGGCCCTGTTGCGTCTGTCCGACCTTCTTGACGCCAAGGGGCCATCGGAATGGCTCGGCGGATGGCGATGACAGCCGACTCCGCCTTGAAGAACTTTGTTGGCCACCGGAAGCCAGCATGAGCCGTGCGGTGCAGGCCGCGGAGACCAAGACCGAGGATAGGGAGGGACACGAAGTCGACGCGTTGCCGTCTTCCCTTCCCGCAGGGTGGTGATACGGCGGAACCGGTCCATAGCCGCGCCTCGTTCCCCAGCGTGCTCAGCCGCGACATCTGCCGCCCAGCGACAGGCAGGTGCAGAAACCAGCCTTGGTTCGTGAGACGCTGAACCTGCCGCTCTGCATCACCTCGGACACGGGTCCAGGCGGAGCGCAGGGTATCGGGACAATTGCCGCGGCACGAGGGCCGGCGCCGGGCTTCGCACAGACGACCAACAGGTGCGACATTGGCCGCGACTTTTGTCTTTGAATCGACAGGCGATGTGAAGATGGCAAATGCCCTGGGTGGTGCGGTACGGTACCGTACGGTAGAGGGCGAGGAGGAAAGAGGACACAGGAGAAGAAGCATAGGCACGGAAGGACACGGAGGGACAGTGCCGGGCAAGAACCTCGCGGCGACGCTCCTTCCCCCCGGGCTGCCTTCTTCGACGCCCAGTCATCAATCGCGCTCCAACCACCAGTCGAATCTTACACGTCTGCCGCTGTTGGGCGATGCCGCTGCCTCGCTTCGCTCTGCGACTTGCTCGTGAACCCAGCGTCCTCGGGCCTCGACGATGGGAACAAACAAACAAACAGGCAGGCAAGCAAGCAACAAGACGCTTCGCTGTCGCTTCGGGAGCAAGCACGTTTCCACTTTCCCCCGCCAGGTTCGTACCCCTGCCACCGTCACGGCGCCGCATCTGGACTCCGTCGCCCCCCCCTGCGTCGACTCCCCCACGTCCGCCACCGACGCCGTCGTCGCTCCACCGCACCGCTGCCGCACTAACTCGCTCAACTCGCCCAGGTGCGTTTGCCTGCGGTACTGTACAGTACCGTGGAAGCCAAGCAACTCTCTCGGTCGACCAACGAAGCAGCCGGTGGTGGTGGTGGTGGTGGTGGTGGTGGTGCTGCTGCCGCCTTGGGTGTGCCGGCCGACCTTTTGCATTTCTCCGCCTCTGCCTGCCGCGACACAACCGTCCATCGGCTTGCCTCGTGGCTGGCCCTTGCGTCGGCGCAATCGACGGCCCACCACGTGCATGCAGCGTGCCATTCGGACGCCGCTGACTACGTTATCGTCATGGCCGGCCGTCGTCGTCGCGCCATGGACGAGGCGGACGCCGCATCAGCTGGCCGCTGACCGCTGGCCGCCCGGCCGTGAAGCTCATGGTCCACTCTCGCCAACAGAACCCCCCGCGGCGACCTTTGGCGGTGGTGATTGCACATACCATCCTATATACGAAGTACATGTTACCTCCTGGCAACCCCCTTGACAAACGACCTTGGTCCTCCTGGCGCGGCACACAACACCGCCCCCCCGCGTCACCTTTCGACTCAGCCTTGTTGGGACGGATCCCGCTCCTCCCGAGCCCCAGCCGATACTGAAGCCGTGGGCCGCCGCCGCCGCCGCCACCGCCGTCGCGCCGCCGCTTCGTCGCGCGTGCTCGAGGCGGCGATACCCCACGCCGGCCCTCTTCGGCTCCCCCGCTCCAGCCTCCAACAGTGGAGGGCCGCTCGTCCCATTAGCCAGCCGGCAAGCCAAAGCCCACTCTCGTCGCCCCATCCCTACAGCGGCAGTAGGGCAGTGAAGATTTGCGTTGGCGTTGGCGTTGCGGGTGGCTCTCCAGTCTCCAGGAACAGGACGCTTCGCTCGCTCCCTGTGTGCGCCGTGGGCTAAAACCGGAAGACGGGCGCGCGGACCCTTGCCGTCCTCCTCGCTCGTCGCCCCTCAACTTCCCTGCTGCTGTAGTTAGCTCGCCGCCGCTTTGCGTTTTGAGCCCGCCTTGTCCGTTGCGTCGGGACCCGTGTCCCGCGACGTCTGTTGGTCACCCATCTTGTTCTCCCTCACCCTTGCCCACGCGCTCGAGGTCCTCGGCTCTCGCGCGCAAGCCCCAACAACGTCTCAACTCGATTTCCGGCCGTTCCCGTTCTGTCTGTCCGCTCTTTTGGAGATTGACGACTACTTGAATCGCGTCCGGCAGCGGACAAGCCCACCTTTTGTGGCCCTTGTCGGCGCAGTTCCCCCATGTCACGACGGCGGCATTGATGACAGACTCACTGGAGCCTGCCTCTCTTCCTTCTCACTCACAACCTCCCACCCCCGGGGGCTCCGCTGGCCATATACGCGCGCTTGCTTGCCTCTCACCGTCTCTCTGGCTCCGTGTTGTCCGAGCGTTCCGGACGTCACCAGGCGAACGCACCAAATACACGCCCTCTAGAAGAGCACACTGCGGCTGTGAGGGGGGCAAATCATAGCAAGGCATGGAGATACAGTTCACCATCCCCATATCGGGCAACAGAAGAAGTCAGACGGGGTACGTTGCGGGCCGACTGGAGCGGACCCTGGCGCCCCTTGTCCCGAAAGCCGGGACTTGGCTGTCGCTCAAAGAGAACCATGGACTGACGCCGCGTCTCACATCCAGCTCGCCCTCGACCCCTTCCTCGTCCTCAGAGGCGCCTGGCAGAGGCACAACCCATCGGTTCGCGCTTGAATCTAGGGCGAGACACACCCGGCGCAGCTCAACGCGAGCACGCACTGGGTGCAGCACCTGTAAGCCACTCGCCCGTCTATTGCTGCCACCAGTTCCGTCTGCTGTAGTGCCCATGCGGCTCGAGGCGTTGCCGCATCTGTAGTTGCTGACTCTCACTCGTGCTAGGCAAGTGAGTCGCTCGATCTCTGCTGTGGTACATACTAGCCACTCCGCGGGCTAGACGGATGGTTTTCTCACCCAAAGCCACGCCGACAAGTGTGTGTCCGAAGACGCCCCCACTGACCGACCTGTCTCCAGGAAGCGCCATGTCAAGTGCGACGAGACGAGGCCCGCGTGCCTCAACTGCCTCAAATGGCGAGGCTACTGCGACTCGTACAGTGACCAAGGTGGCGCGCCAGACTCTCGCGCAGGCTCGACCGCCCCGTCCACGAGCAGCAAGCTGTCGGTGGCAAGGAAGGGCCCGACACTCCTGACGGAACCCTTGGTGAATGTGATTCGATTCACGACGAGCGACGAACGCGCGTATTTTGACGAATGGTCTGCGCTCTCGGTCACCTTTCTGAGCGGAGGACTCGCGCAGACACGACTATGGACCGCGACGATGCCGCAGTTGACGCTGGAGGAGACGACACTCCGATACGGCGCCATGGCTGTTGGGGCATTGCGCAAGGCCTACGAGACCGAAGACCCTTCCACGACACTGACGAACAGCAACAAACACTATCTCAACGCCGTCATCTACTATTGCGAGGCCCTCCGATTGCAGTCCAAGGCACAGCCGACCAAGGAGGGCCTGAGAACGGCCCTCCTCTCGTCTTTGCTGTTCATCTGCTTCGAAGCCCAGCGCGGCAACATGGCGGCCGCACTCAAACACGTCACGCATGGCTTCAGTATGCTCAATGAGCTGGCCGCGTGCACCGACAAGGCGCCCGGTCTCGTCAGCATAGCCCCCGCTCCACCCGCCCTGGTGCAAGAGATACTCGACTGCTACAAGCCACTCGAGCTGCAGTCCAGGTCGTTCATGGGGTCGTACAAGAAGTTCTTCTTTCCCCCTCAGCCAACGGCGCAGAGGCTGGGCGTTGGCGCGGCGGCGCCAACGACGGCGCTGCCGGGCCCAAGTACCGGCCGTCCTGTGCAGACGCCCCCCAGCCAGCCGGGGACGCCCTGGCGCACGGGCTCCATAGCTCCTGCATACGCGCAGACCGGTCTCCCGAGCCCCCAGAGCCAGCCGAGCCCGGGCAGCCCGGCCTCTCCCGGCCTGGGCCAGCGCTCGCCCGCCGGTCTGCCGAGTCGGCCCCCTGGCATCCTCCCGTTCACAAAGTACTCGCCCTACTTTCGGCCAAAGCTCACCAGCATCACTTGCCTGGAAGAGATGCCCGCGCAGTTCCAAGACATGGATGAGGTGCAGGGGTACTGGGGACTCGTACAGAGGAACATGGTGCAGCACATTCCGATGCTCACCATGATGACGTCTCGGCTTGCCCTGACAAAGGTTGTCAACGAAGCGGACCTGGAGGTGAGACTGGCGAGCCTGAAGCAGAATACGCAAATCACCGACTTCGTTGCCGAGTCGCGGTACTGGCTGCAACGATGGGTCGAGGCCTTTGCGCCGCTCTTCCAGAGTTCGTGTCGGAACTCGGTCAGCGATCCGAAGGGATATCTGCAGGCCATCAGCATCCGCATCGAGTATCTCATCCTATACATCTACACGACGCTGCCCCGCTTCTCGGGTCTCATCACCGCCAAGGGGCTCACGCCACAATACAGAGAGATCAATCGATATGCCGAGACGCTCCTCATGGCCAGACCAAGCTGCGGGTTCGCCATGGACTCTGGGTGGACGTGGCCCTTGTTCGTGTCGGCCTTTGGCTGCAGGGACCCAGCGGTCAGAGCAGACGCGATCCGCATCCTAGGACAGTACCCAATTCGGAACGCGCTGCGCGACAGCCGCGTTTTCCGAGCCATTGCGCTGAAGAACAACGAGGTCGAGGCCGGCGTCTTGCTGGAGGGCGACGAGAACGAGCAGTGGCTGCGGCTACGGAGGAGAGAGCTTGTCTTTGAAGACTTTGGCACCAACATTATATACCGATCGTCTCAAAAGAACCCCGAGACGGGGGCGTGGGAGCTTGTCGAAGAGAACGCCGGCTTCAACGTCCGCCCAGACGGGATGCTGGACTGGCACAGAGTCCCCATTTCGGAGTCGGCGTCCATCCTCGCAGGCGTCTGCTAACGGCGGAGCAGGACAAGGGCGATGGAAAAATGACTGTATGAATCCGGGCTGGGCGGTACAACACACAACAACAGGCGTTGATGCACTAGATAAAATGACACGGGATTGCATGGCCGGCCACCGGGCCGTGGGCCAACACGGAAGCGGGCGTTTGCTTTCTTCTTCTGGGCCTCGTGCCGCACACGTTGGAAACGGATACACGAACACGGCTCCTTGTTTATGAGTTGAGATAGGCAGAATCGCACAAGCTCACGACCCAGATTTGGATGTTGCTGCATGGCATAGACTGTGTATACTGGGAACGCGTATGGCACTGGGGATAGACTCGATGGAGTACCAAGGAGTCTGAGGCTCTGAGCCATGATGCGGCTCATTGGTGCAGTGTCGCCGGGACCGAGAACGTTGGCGAGGTTTACGTGGAGAGTGGGTCAATGATGGGCAGAAAGGGTACATGTAGCTTAATTACAAGCGACTCTTCAACGAAGCGTGATTGGTTTAGTGGTAAAATTCTCCGTTGCCATCCGAGCAACGTCGGGGAGCCCTGGGTTCGATTCCCAGATCACGCAGAGTTTCATTTTTTGCCTCTCTGAGTGGCTCATTACGCTTCATTTGTTCTCAGGCCTGTGGCCTGCTTTTTTGGCTCTGTTACGATGGCAGTTCGAGGGAATGGTGGGCGTCCATTTGACACCCCGGTTGACCGTGAAGTGTCCATCATCCTCGTCGTGAAATTTAGTTTCGGCCCCTGAGCGCACACAGTGGCAGTATTTCTGTATGACCACACAAACAGTTATAAAGCACTTGACGCCACGCCGTGTACCCTGAACTTTGCACTCTATGCCTCGCATTCCTGTCTAGCTCTCCACGTCAAACAAGGAGACGACGAGGTCGCCAGCCTCGCTCCTGATGAGCCTCGCCCAGTTGGCCGCGTCGACAAACGCCGCCATGTCGTCCCCCGCGAGCTCGATGCACGCGGCGCCGCGGCTGACCATGGCGGCGAAGCGCGGGCTCGCGGCGTGCACGTCGTGTGCCTGGTTGACGACCTCGCGGCCGTGCATGATGAGCGCGGAGCGGAGGAGCCGCGCGTCGGGGTCCGTGGCGTCGCGGCGGCAGCGTAGCCCGGCCGAGGAACGGTAGGCGCCGCAAAAGGCGCGCACGAAGCGTACTAGCCTGGCGTGCGCGGCTGGCCCGTTGTTGTTGCCGTCGATGTGGTTGTTGTTGTTGGAGGAGGCGGAGGCGGAGGCGGCGAGTATCTCGCAGTGCATGCTGGCGAGGAACTGGGCCATGTCTCCGTTGACGCCCCGGCCGTTGAGCTGGGCAAACTCCCAGTCGACGATGATGGGCGTGCGGTCACACTGCGTGCCGTCGGGCGCAAGAGCATCATCCCTGAGGAGGATGCTGCCGGGCGTAAAGTCGCCGAGCGTGAAGCACTCGCGGTACGAGTAGCTCTCCGGGCCCTCAAAGTCGGCGACGACACGGTCGTACAGCCGGCGCGCCCCGTCGTCATTGCCTCCGCCTCCGCCGCCGCCGACGCGCGAGGGCGCCGACAGCCGCGCGAGGAGCGGCTCGATGCAGGCGCGGCGAACAACGTCCCTGCCGAGGTGGTGCGTCAGGCGCGCCGCGGCGGCGTCGGGCCGCGAGGCGATGCGGGCCGCGAGCTGGGGGGAGTGGAGGACGGCGAAGGCGCGCCCGACAGTCGTGGCGATGGCGTCGATCTGTTCGGCGTCGGCGCCGTCGCGGGAAGAGGACCCGGCGCGGAGGAGGAACTCGACGATGTTGACCAGCGGGCCGAGGTCGCCGAGGAGGAGCACGGAGGATTCCCGCGCGGACGGGGTCAGGCGCAGGGCGGACTCGGGCCCGCGGTCGTGGCGGATGAGCTCCGGGATGTGCCACGCGGGGATGTCGTTGCTGTTGCTGAAGTCATCGTCATCGTCGTCGTAGTCGGCGTCGTCGCGGCGCAGCGCACGGAAGGGGGCGAGGGCGCCCTCGGGGTGGTGCCACAGGGCGAGGACGGCTGCTTCTACGGCCTGCGGAGCGCGAAGGGCGTGCGTGGGGGCCCACTGGTAAGCACAGAGGCCTTTGCATGACGAACAACGTACTAGGAGAGATGGGACGAGCGTCTACGGGGCAGAGGCACGAACCTGGCGGTCGGTGGAAAAGGCCCACGCGGGCCCGGCCGTCTCGACGTAGGGCCGGGCGTGCTTGACGATGAGGCTGCGGTGCGGGGCGGCGCCGGAGACGAGCGTCGCGCGGAGGGTGCGGTTGACGAGGCCGCCGGCGAGGCGGGCGAGGGACCAGGTGGTGCCCGGGTAGAGGCCGGAGAGGTAGGCCTGGTAGTCGACGGAGTCGCTCCAGCCGCCGTTGCCGTTATCGTCGTCCATGGCGGGCGGGGCGAGCGGGGCGAGCGGGTGAGGTGACCGTGGGAGCTATAGGCGGAAAGTGGGTGTTGAGGTGTGCGTGAAAAGTGGTGATGCCGGCTTTTGGTGTTGAGGGGTCGTCGCGCGCAGGTGCGCAGCTTTTAACTTGCAAGCTCGCGCTGCGGCTCGTCTCCCCCCAAGGAGACACGCCCCTCCAGCAGGGACCATTTCGCCAATTGAGCCGCGTTGCGTCATGCCTGCAAGGAACGCGTGGGTGGCCGCCGCGGTGATGAGGCCGCTTCGCCGGGGAATCATTTCGACTCATCATGGCCTGGAGCAGGCCCTACGGGGTCCCGTCTGCATGGCTGCTGGCCGCCCCCCGGGGGGGGGGGGGTAGACTTGACTCACTGACGGGGCTGAGGGATGGGAGGCTTTGGGCGGAGGCCGGCTCGCCTGCTTATACGGCGTAATACGAAGAGGCGAGACCAGACGGTCAACAGGCGCCCGACTGGAGGCGCACGGGATGGAGTCGATGGATTCACTGGCCAGCATCGAGGTGTTTGGCAAGGCCATCTTTGGGGCCCTTGGGCATTGGGTCGAGGTACCTATGCAACGACAGGGGGGGTTTGTGCAACAGCCGCGAACGCTGTAGCGGGCTGGCGTTTGCCGCAACTAGCAAGAGTCTCACAACGCTGCGAAGTATCGCGACAAGTTACAAGTTTACAACCCTACTGATTCTCCAAGGACGCATTTACAAACTCAATCCTCCATGTCAACTATGTCAACTCGTGCCTGCCCGGCCACGGTAAGAAGGGCGCCGCTCCTAGACAGGGCGTGGGAAACGTGGCATCTGTCCCAGGTGCGCCTCGCGGCAACGTGTTGTTGAATGGCAGACGACGAGGTTGGTCCGCCACGGCGTGCGGACAGGCAGGCAGGCGGTCGCAAATGGCTACAGGTTCTGCCTCGCTTCGTAGCTGATGATTGCCCGTCTGCCTCATGGTTGCCTGGTGCTGCAAGAATGAGGAAGGGAATACTTACCCCTATCGCGCGCGTTGAGGGGCTTAGTTCTTGAGAGCGGCTTGGTGATTATGGGAGCACCCAAGACGGTTTTGGCGCTTGGTGTAATAAAAAGTAGAATACAAAATGAGAGTTGCGGCGGTAAGAGACTCGCGGCGGTAAGAGACTCACGGCAGCAAGAGACCCACGGCAGCAAAAGAGACTCACGGCAGCAAAAGAGACTCACGGCAGCAAAAGAGACTCACGGCAACGAAAGAGACCCATAGCAGCAAAAAAGGACCCAAGTGCGGCAGAAACAACTCACTCGCAGCAAAAAGAGACTCACGGCAATGCACTCGTCTTGCCTAGAATGTTATTAGCGACAGCAATAAAATGCTCACGGTCGCGGCCTCAGAAGACCCTTATTATCGGCGCCAGAAACGGCCACCTGCCCGCTGTAAAAAAAAATGGACGCCCCTGGGCTGGTAGGTAGGTACTTTTCGTCGCCAGCGTACGGGCAGCTTGGTAGGGGCTGATACTGGGAGCCTGAAGGTACCTAGGTAGTTGCTGCCCTGCCCAGATGGTCCAGGCCCCACTGGGCCTTGCCCGACATCCACCTCATGGATGTTTGCAGCGCCTCAGGTCGGCGCCACAGCCAGCTGCAGCTCCAAGGGTACCCGGCCCCAGGCGGGCACAGCACCGTCCCTTCACTGAGGTGCCTGTTGCGGCTCCAACCTAGCGGAGCTCCACCCGACCACTGCGGCGCGACGTGGAGCTGCGATCGCGACTCCAACCCTGCTTGAGCACTCCAAGCGGTAACCCCAACCTGCGATACTTCGTACCGTCCACCCACACGCGCGCGCGCCCGCTGCTCGGCCAATTGAGGCGCACCTCACGACAGGGAGCCAGCAGGCTGCTCACGGCGAACCGCACCCGCCTACCGAGACCAACACACGCGCGCGCGCGACCCTGCCGTCCCGAGCAAGGGCCATCGCATCACGCCCATCCAGCCGCCGCGTGAAACTCGCCCGACCCCCCCGGACCGACCGCACGTAGCTGCTCCTCTCTACCGCGCCCGGCGCGACCGTCCCGAGGCCGCGGAGGAGTCGAGCGGCGGCGGCGACGACGCCATGGATGAAGAGGATCGCTTCTCCGCCAGCTCGGCCGAGTCGGAGCGCGGCGACGAGCCCGACGAGCCCATGCAGGACGCCGACGAGGCCAACAACAACGACGCCGACGCCGACCCCGAGGAGGACAACAACGACGATGCAGACGCCGACGACGACGATGACGAGGGCGATAACGAGGCCGACGACGATGCCGCCGCCGCCGCCAACGCCAACGCCCCGGCCGACGACGCGCAAAACGACAATGGCCCTCACGAGCCGCCGCGCCCCAAGTCGAGCAAGTCGGCCACCCCTTCGCCCTCGGCCATGCCCTGGCGCCCGACCGTCCGCCCCGAGGCGCTGACGGCCAAGCTCTACGACATCGTCCCGACCATGGCCGCGCCCCAGTCGACGAGCGTCAACGCCATGGCCATCACCCCCGACCTGCGCTACTGGATCACCGGCGGCTCCGACGGCTACATCCGCAAGTACGACGGGCCCGGCACCATCAACGGCAAGCTGGCCCTCACCGTCGCCCAGAAGCACCCCTTTGTCGACAGCGTCACCAAGGCCGGCATCCTCATGTCGTATTGGGAGAACGAGGAGCCCGCGCCCCCCGGCCGCGGCGACCAGGACCACGTCCTCTCGCCCGTCTACTCCCTCGCTGTCCACTCCCACGCCCTGTGGCTGCTCTCGGGCCTCGAGTCGGGCGGCATCAACCTGCAGAGCGTGCGACACGACGAGGGCAAGAAGATTGCCTGCCTGCAGCAGCACACCAACGCCGTCAGCGTGCTGACGCTCGCCCCCGACGAGAAGAGCGTCCTCAGCGGCGGCTGGGACAAGAACGTCTTCGACTGGGACCTCAACACGGGCCAGACCAAGCGGAGCTTCGACGGCAGCGGCGGCCAGATCTCGTCGATAGAGCTCCGCCCGGCCAGCGGGGACCCCATCTCAGCCGAGGCCGACGAGCCCGTCCTCTCGGGCACCATGGCCACCAACAACGACGCACCGCTGACCAACGGCGTCTTCCACGACCACGCCGACGGCGGCGGCGATGCGGCGGGGCTCGGGGGCGGGGACGCAGGGGACCCCCAGGATGGACAGGCGTCCCCCGCCCACGAGAGCCTCTTCGGGGGCAGCGACGCCGGCAGCCTCTTCGGGGAGACGGCCGGGGAGCAACCCTTTGGCCACGACGACGACGGCTACGGCGCCGGGATGGAGATGATGGGCGGCGGCCACGAAGGGGGCATGGACTACTCGGCTGACATGGCCATGGCGGGCATGGAGGCGGGAAAGGCCGCCGACGGCGAGCAACCGCCGGGCCAGGCGCAGTCGCAGATGCAGACACAGACACAGACACAGACACAGACGGAGACGGAGACGCAGCCCACACAGGATGCGATGGAGGTGGACGGGACGAATGAGATGCAGGCCAGTGGCGGCCCAGGGTCTGCCGGTGCGACTGCCGGCGAGAAGCAGGCAGACGCAGGGGCTTCCCCTCAGCCGGCGACGGCGGCGGCGGAGCAGGACGATCAGGCCCAGTCGCAGCACACGCCACGGCGACTCTCGGAGGACAAGGCGCTCCTCAAGAGGTCTCAGTCCCCCTCGGCCGCCGTCTTCGCCACGGGCCAACCGTCACAGACGCAGCAGCAGCACGACCTGTCGCAGACGTCGGCGACGACCTTCCTGTCGTCGGCGATCGACGGGACGATCCGGATCTGGGACCGACGGGCACCGAACCCCGTGGCGCGCATCGGCAACCGTGTGGGGGTCCCGCCGTGGTGCATGAGCGCGTGCTGGAGCCCGGACGGCAACATGATATACGCGGGGCGGCGCAACGGCACCGTCGAAGAGTTTGACGTGCGCAAGGCGCGGCGGGGGTGGGAGCCCGAGAGGGTGCTCAAGTTCCCCGCGGGCAGCGGCGCGGTCAGCGCGGTCAAGCCCATGGTGAACGGGCGGCATCTGGTGTGGTGAGTCTTCTTTCTGGGTGTTCCCTGTTCCCTGTTCCCGACTCTTCAACCTCCATCCATGCGCCGCCGCCATCCTTGGCGTGGTCAGCAGGATGGCGGTGATTGCGTGTGATGAATCTGGCGCTGACTTGGGTGTGGCAGCGCGTCTCATGACATTCTCCGACTGTACGACCTTCGGGAGACGCGGACGGCCAAGCACTCGACGGTGCCCTTCCTCATCATCCCCGGCCCGCCGCGCGCAGGCGTCATCTCCGGGCTGTACGTGGACCCGACGAGCCGGTTCATGCTGAGCGCCGCGGGGACGCGCGGCTGGGAGGGGACGAGCACCGAGGTGCTGATTGGGTACGAGATCAATGTGACGGAGTAGCAGATGGGGTTCGGGGGACGCGCATGTCTCGGGTCAGACCGAACGACGATGCTTGCGGGTTGAGAACGAGGCGTTTCCTGGTGGCGGGGGGTCATGGCGCTCTGGTGTGTGATTTGATATGGAGTTTTGGCCGCTTGACGCAACTTGGCCCCTGACGGTCAGTACCATACCATACAGAGAGAGTTGAGCACTGTACACTACTATATGTCCAATAGTACAGCAATGTACAGTACTGTCGTGACAGTACAGTACAGTACAGTACGCAGAGCCTCCGAAAGACCTGTTCACACATTACGTGCCGACATACGGTACCGTACACTACACTGCAGTACCCGCACGAGTTGGTGGCATTCATTGATCCGCCCAAGACGTGATCGTTGACGCACGACCTTTGTCTTTTCCTTTTCTTTCGCATTCTCCCCGGCTTACTCACCCATTGAAACGTCTAGCTCGACGTTCGTGTCACGACGACTCTGCAGCTCGGGTTGGGCCACCGGGCCGCTCGCTGACTGGAGCGGCACATCACCCCATTCACCGGTTCATTGTGAGGCGCTTCAAGTCCCGCACTTGCAGAGAAATGATCTGACCGACACCTGCGGGGAGGGCACACCCACCCAAAAGGCCCGGCCCGGCGGATGAACACTGCCCAAGTGACATGGAGGCACCACCGGCGATTGTTGTGGCACCCCCACGCGCCGCGCAAGGGCATTGATGCGTTTGTCACTGTGCCGTATGCAGGGAGAGAGCCTCATCCAGGGGGCATGAATGATGGAAAAAAGTATAGTATGTACGTATTATGTAGTACTAAGCAACACACGTTTGCGGTACCCCTTCTCGGCTACGGACACGGACGACGGGGGATCAACTGGAGATCTGGGAAGGAGAAGCGCGCATTGGTCAGGGAACGGGACCGTCGCCCACAATGGGGAATCCGTGATGGCTGGCTGGCTGGCTGACTGGCTGGTTGGTTGGCTGGTACCTCGCTCGCGCTGATCGAGGCTGTTGGCTCCCACGCCACACCATTGATCATTGATGGGAAGAAAGGGGTGGGGGAGGGGGGAGGGGGAGATAGACACACCTTATTAACTTAGCCACCAACACACATACAGTAAGGGGACTGTACGGTAACTACCTTGTATGTCGTCGACAACGCACCCATTCACAAAGGCCCTTGTTGGTTGCACTGTCCTGGCCGAGTGCGTACAGTATGAAGCAATACCAGCGCGTCGCCCCCGAAAACGGACATTGGCGTTGGGCAACATTCAGCATGGTGTTCGGTTTGGGGTTGTCTCTCTTTTGCAGAATCACGCACCCACGGGCGAATGGTGGTAGCTGGCAGCTGCGAGGGTCTCAGCTCAAACCCGGTTCCTGGGTATGCAAAGACTGTCTTCATAGGCAGGTTACACGGAAAGTCGGGAGGTTGAGACACACGAGTCCCCCACCAATACGGCCGTTGCTGTCTCGTCACGCGTGAAGAGACCGTCGCCGTGGGAAGGGTGTCGGTGTTCAGCGT